TAAGGTCTTCCGTCTTCACGGAAGACCTTATAGTGATTCTACTGTTTCTTATTATTATTATTATTATTATTATTATTCTTTTTTTTGACCAAATTTTGTGCACGCGATTTCTCGAAAAGTATTCAGTCGTTTTCAATGAAACTTTCAGGAAAAGTCAGTCATTGTATGAACTTTGTTCATCACAAGGAAAATTTGGAAAATTCCATTTTGGTTCCAAGTTATGGGCAATTTCCTGATTTTAAAATGAAATTTTGTCGCCCCTTTTTCTCAAGAATGGCTAAAGATATGAACTGGAGACTTATTAGAGAGCATAGAACGTGACTTCTAAATTTGCAGAATTGCCTTTCCGTTCGTCGTCGGCACTTCCGGTCGTCACAGGAAGTGATCAAAGAAATCGTAAAATTTCAACTTTCTTTTTTTAAATCAATATTTACATCACATTATTGCATCTCTTATGTAGTTTCGAAATATGTTGGTCCCACTGGAAACAAAAACGTTAACTTCCCGTTATAAGAGAAAAACTACATAATTTTAGTATTTTTCTTTCCCATTAATATCCTTTGTAGATAAAGTATTTGAAATGAATTTTAAATATGTTATTTAGACTGCAAATATCTAGAGTCACGTCAAATATCTTTGTAAAATTCACTTCCGGTCGCGTGTTTTCCTGTCCTCAAAATGAGAAGTTCTCTGAGCAAGATCTCGGAAACGGTGAGAGATTAAGACACCAAACTTATATGAGCAACAAACCTTAAGATGTAGGCAAAAGCATTTGGGTTCAGAGCGTCAGCCGTCACTTCCGGTCGTCACAGGAAGTGATCAAAGAAATCGAAAATTTCAACTTTTCTTTTTTTAATTAAAAATTGCATCACTTTATTGCATCTTTTTCGCAGATTCGAAAGATGTTGGTCTCACCGGAAACAAAAGTGACAACTTCCGGTTATAAGAGAAAAGCTACATAATTTGAGTATTTTACTTTCCCAACAATATTTTTTCTAGAAAAAGTATTTGAAATGAATTTTAAATATGTTATTCAGACTGCAAATGTCTAAAGTAATCGTAAATATCTTTCAAAAATTCACTTCCGGTCGCATGTTTTCCTGTCCTCAAAATGTGAAGTTGTCTGAGCGAGATCTCAAAACCAAGTAAAAGATTAAAACACCAAACTTTTAAGATTTATGGACCTTGAGGAGTAGGCAAAACCATTTGGGTGAAACGCGTCAGTCGTCACTTCCGCTTGTCACAGTAAGTGATCAAAGAAATCTAAAAAAAAAATTAACTTTTCTTTTTTTAAATTAATGCTTGCATCACTTTATTGCATCTCTTTCGCTGTTTGGAAATATGTTAGATTCCACCGGAAACAAAAACGTCAACTTCCGGTTTTAGGAGATAAACTTCTTTACTTTGATATTTAACTTTCTCATAAATATTGCTCATCGATAAAGTACTTGAAATGACTTTATGTATGTTGTATATACTGCAAATGTCTAGAGAAAAGTCAAAGATTTTTATAAAATTCACTTCCGGTCTCGTGTTTACCTGTCCTCAAAATTAGAATTTGATCTCACAATATTGCTCGGCAACAGTAAACGACTGAAGTCTAAAACTTTCAGGACTGATGGTCAGTCATCAGTTATATGAATCGTGAGAAAATCTTGTATCGCCGTTACTTCCGGTACTTCCGGTCGTGACCGGAAGTGATGTAAAAAATGAATGGTTAACGTTAGCAAGTTGAATTTTCACGCTGACGACCAGGGTTAAATTTCCAGAGTGTCTGAATTTCTTTTATCTCTTTTTCAGCTTGAATTTTCGTTTTTATTTTCAGAATCGGACGGAAGACCTCTCATTGCTCGCAATGAGTTTCTAGTTATTATTATTATTCTTTTTTTCTACTTTCTTCTCCGGTACTTTTTTGTCCGGGAGTGTTCTCATAGAACCACTCATCCGATTGACATGAAACCTTTTTAGGGTTAATAGGCATGTTTTGTAGGTGTTCGTAACGAAGATCATTTTGCGCGCACATGCATGCACGTGCGTGCGCGTGCAATGAGTGAAATGACTGATATACTTGATGAAGCCGTAACTTTTATATTTCTTGATGAATTGCTTTGAAACTCAAAATATAAAGATATATTAGTAGTCTAGACAAGATAACATGGTCAAATTAGCGTGAACTCACGCGCATGCACGTGCGCTCTTCTATGATTGACTGATACAAAAATCTCAATAATTTCCTTGTTTTTTGACAAAATACTTTGAAATTTAGAATATAAGTATATATTATAAGGTGCTACAACATGTTATATAGGAAATTTCTTGAAAACACGCGCATGCATGTGTGCTGCAATCTGATTGGTTGAAACTTTGAATGTCTATAACTCCCTTGGTTTTCAACAAAACAGGATGAAATTTACGACATGTATAGGCACATAGAGCTCCTACATTATGATACTATCGAAATTGAATGCAAGGCCATGAATGCACGTATGCTGAATTCTGATTGGCTAATACTTAAAGGGTTACATCTCTCTTATTTTTCAGTGAAATTCTTTACTATTTAACACAAATGTATGTATTGTGAGACACTATAAGAAAATTAATGTGAAAAATGTAGAAAACATATGCAAGCACATGCGCTGAAATTTGATTGGCTAATACCCATATGGCTATATCGGAGTAGTTTTCCAATGAAATACCCTTAAAAATAAAGTGTCCATCTATATTACAAAAGTAATGTCTAATTTATTGAAGCTTGTAGGGAATGGGGCATCATAAGGGATTGGGAGCCGTTTGGGGAACATATGTAACGGTTCTCGTTACAATTAGCACTAGTTTTTATTTATTTTTACTTTAAGCGCACAAGACATAGAATTTAGTCTCTCTCTCTCTCCCAAATAAAGAAAAAAAGAAAAAAGATTAGAAGGTATCTTAATGTTCTATCAGTTCTTGGTTTCTTGGTTTCTTGGTTTTAATTTAAAGCCTATAAAATTTTGGATCCATTCTCAAAGCTACTGATGTTAATTGTATCGTACCACTCTTAGGGGAATTAGCGTTTATAACTCTTGTATTGAGTTACCCTGAATTTAAAATGTGAACAAAAACGCGTTATATTTCTTTGTATGGACTTGTAAGTGTATACTCACCAGATACAGTGTCTCTGATACCTGAAACTATTCCATACATACAAAGTAGTTAGTAGAACATACAAATTAATTATATATAGGTTCAAATTATCATTTTTATACGGAAGCCGGTAGGCCGCCAGATCTATTTTTTCTACCTGGCACCAACCGGCTTCCGTATTTTTATCACTCAAATAGTGAAGATAAACACGGTAAACAATACTTTATCTGTCAATACTTACAGCAATTATGATAATTAGCTTCCGCAATAAAGTTGGTCTTTTTTGGCAATAAGTTGTCAGTCTGAAAATAATAAACAAGCTGTTCATGCAGATTAATAAATTTCTCTATCCTCCACTATCTGTCTCTTAATAAATGGATGGACGATTTCTATTTCTTTACTTTAAAGAATTGAGGCTAGTACAAACAAGAAAAAACAAGAGGCCCAGGGGCCACATCGCTCACCTGAGCACTGTGGCTAGGAAAAAAAGGAAAAATCAGTTTAGTACTGAAAAGTTTAAATGCTTAAGTAGTCCTTACCTACCCCTAAAAGTGAAGGGGGGGGGGTAATGATTTGAACAAACTTGAATCTACACTAACTAAGGATGCTTACATAATTTTTTGACTAACTGTGACTTTTTTCTCTACAAGTTTGAACTTTCATTGTGGCCCCGACCTACCCCTGGAGGTCATAATTTGAACAAACTTGAATCTACACTATCTGAGGATGCTTCCGTATAAATATGACAAACCGTGGCTTTGCTGTTCTTGAGAAGATTTTTAAAGATTTTTCCTATATATTCCTATGTAAAACTTTGATCATTCAATGTGGCCCCACCCTACCCCCGGGGGTCATGATTTGAACAAATTGAATCTACACCACCTGAGGATGCTTCCACATAAATATAACCAATCATAGCTTTGCTGTTCTTGAGAAGAAGATTTTTGACGATTTTTCCTATGTACACCTATGTAACACTTTGATCGTCCATTTTGGCCCCACTCTACCCCGGGGGTCATGATTTGAACAAACTTGAATCTACACCACCTGAGGATGCTTCCATATAAATATGACCAAACATAGCTTTGCTGTTCTTGAGAAGAAGATTTTTGAAGATTTTTCCTATATACACCTATGTAAAACTTTGATCGTCCATTGTGGCCCCACCCTACCCCCGGGGGTCATGATCTGAACAAAGTTGAACCCACACCACCTGAGGATGCTTCCACATAAATATTACCAATCACTGCTCTGCTGTTCTTGAGAAAAAGATTTTTGAAAATTTTTCCTATATACACCTATGTAAAACTTTGATCGTCCATTGTGGCCCCACCCTACCCCCGGGGGTCATGATTTGAAAAAATTTGAATCTACACTACCTGACAATAATTCCACATGAGTTTCATGAGTTCTTGAGAAGAAGATTTTTCAATAATGCCATTAATTTTTTGCTATTTCGTTATTATCTCCCCTTGGAGGAGGGTGTGGCCCTTCATTTGAACAAACTTGAATCCCCTTCACCCAAGGATACTTTGTGCCAAGTTTGATTGAAATTGGCCCAGTAGTTCTGGAGAAGAAGATGAAAACGTGAAAAGTTTACGACGACAACAACGACGCCGACAACAGACAACGGACAAATTTTGATCAGAAAAGCTCATATGAGCCTTCGGCTCAGGTGAGCTAAAAAGACTTTGTTTTAATTACGCGCAGTGACCAGGCTTCCACTAAGCTCCGGTACCTTACATTTATTTTAACAGGTGTTTAGAAATGTAGTGGAATCATTTACAGTGACACGCCTAAAATATAGATGTAGTTGTTTTATGAGCATAAATCATATATCCTTACACTGTTGTCTTTAAGGAATGGACAGTAGGTACCTCCAGTGTCATTTAAGGCAGCAGACATGGTACAACCTTGTGCAGATGTTGGTAGTTCAGACTGATTTCTGTACAAAAAATAATTAGATAGAGGAACATACTCGCTTCCACTGTAGCTGATGTTAGTATAAGTAAATCTCAAGTAATCGATGTCGTCGATATTTCTTTGTATATCAGTTTTAAAAGCAAGAGGAATTATATAAACTGATGCACTATTTCCAGTGTTGTACCAGTATGTTTGCATCACAGACACATTTTTTGAAGCTCGAATCGTTAATGGCGTATAAGGGTCGACTCGTCGTTGAATTCGATCATACTTGTTTGGAATGGTGACGAAATCATACCCTGAGATATGGATTGTTGTGTTTTCAAAGGCAGTCACAATCGAAATTATATTACCGTAAGGACGATCACCTGCAGGGACAATCACGTAATACGTTCCCCATAATGTGATTGGTAACAGTTGTTCCACCAGATATTCTGCTTTTCCTGATTTTTGCACTGGAACACTTGCAGTGTAGACTATTAGCTTTTCCGAAGAATTAATGTGTGTCCCCGTTATATCGCAGTCAAACTTGAGAGATTTTGCTTCATATCCTTGCAGAGTAAGGTCTTTAGTCTCATTTTCACATACCTTTCCATCAGATCCTCTTCTCATAGGGAATTTCAATCTGACAGTCAAAGTATGTTCTGTAGGGTTGCCCAATCCCAGGATGCTCTTCCGTGTAATAGTGTAGTATACTAAGGCAACATATTCAGTGCCTAGATATTCGTCACTCAGAGCAAGAAACATTTCTTTTCCCACAAAAGCTAGAACACTCTTATCGGAATTAACGCCATATATAGTAGGATGAGTCAAATTTGATGATGATGATTGATTTAATTTCAGGTCGCATATTTCGTTGCTGGTTTTATTTAAAATCTGAGGTGTGTAATTTTGTCCATTATCATTAATGAAAAACAAATAATGAGACATTTGTCCTGAAATAAATAAAAAAAAAAATCACCGAACTAATATATTGTTTTTCGTGTTTTGATTTTAAATAAATAACATTCAACTGTAAAGGCATTAAAATATATAAATATAGTATTACACTTTATAATATTTTGTATTTGAAAAAAATGTAAGTTGATATTTGTTTACTTTTCCTGGAATAATATTAATAAACATTACGTTCAATGTTTTTACTTAGGTGCGTCAGCATTAATATAGAGTTTAATACAAAAGTTTTCAAAGATTAAAACAATATTTGACAAGAGGTTGGAAAACCTGCTTTTTTGGAAATTTAATGAGTCGGTTCCTTACCTGTTGAGCAAGGTTTGGTACAAATTGTCCGACAAACAACTGATAACAGAATAACACCTACGTACAACATCTCTGTCAATAAGAAATAAATCATAAATTCTGAAAAAGTTACTGGTTTTGGACCCTTTCAAAGCAAAACCACTAAGATTTTCTATAGAATGAATATTTATCAAACATTTTTATTTAAAAAAAAGGAATAAAAGTGCAAGATTTCATACTTTTTTAAAACCATTTTCTTGCCATTTAAGCTCAGAAAACCTTCCTTCACATATTTACATCTAAAAATTACAACTTTTGCTGTAATGATAATTTTTGTTTTATGATATGCGCTATGTATACCGTAATTTGTTCAGATGTTCGGGAAAATAGTATGCTCTTAGGAATAGCTCTTTTATCCCCCCCCCCCCAACAGAAAGAAACTTTTCTTCGAGGGCTTGATGTATATATTTTCTTTCCTCGAGGGCTTGATGTATGTATTTTTATAGCACATTATATACCTGGGGTAAAGTTTTGTGGAACCTATAGTGATGGAAAAATTAGCAACAAATCATACTTATTAAAAGATGGAGATGGGTTAGCCATGTTCTAAGAAAGCCATCAAAAACATGAATCTTACCTGGGGAGAGGTGGAGAAAATAGCTCAAGATAGAGGAGAGTGGGAATCCCTATTCCTTATCCTATCAGTGTGTTCTTCCAGGTCCAACAAGGACTAGAAGAAGAGGGATCATACAAAAGAAAATCAAAATTGGAGTAAAAATGTAATGGAAATTTTAACATATTCTATATACCGGATTATAGCTTTTCTGTACGTGATGTTTTATGAAGGGGATTTTACTCTAACATTTGGAAAAAAATTTCATAATGAAAATGGCGCGAGTCATTAATGAATGAAACATAGATAAAAATAAATTTACCCACTATTAAGAAGGAAGTCATTTGTCAGAGTAGCTGTAGCTTTGTAGCTCCCTTTCTGAAAAATTGTGATGGATGAATAGAGAGAGCTACAGATCCATCCAATAAAAATATATACAGCGCACAAAAAGTACTCATGTTTCTCGATTTATTTCTCCGTTTATTTTAGCTGTCATTCTCAAATGTGTTCCTAACATTCTTTCTATTACTTTCCACAACAAAACTTTCTACACAACCGTTTTCAATAGCCCTCCTGGGCTTGAAATGGAGACAATAGAATTTTTTGCCTTTTTAATCCCCATTGTGAGAGGCAAAATAATTCGACCCACTATTTTTCAGCAAGTTTTAAAAGTTGATATTACCAGGTCCCAAATACAAAACAGTAGGAATTGATTTATTGTGTGTTCTAACTGGATTATATTTAGTGAAGTGGACAGTACCCATGACAGGCGGTAAGTACAAGTTTAGGTATAGAATGGGGTTAAATAATCTGAGATGCAAATGGTTGGGTTGTAGTTTAAAAAGGGTTAAAGATCATCGGATTCCACATGCAAGTTATACATTGAAGCAAGTCCCACGGGGTCATTCCCATTTCCTGGATATGGAAACGATCAAATAACTTTAAAATAAAATCGGAAACCCAAAAGCAGTCTTTGTATTATAAGATTAAATGGTATAAGGGGTCTTGACCCGAGGTCTCCCTGGTCACCCCCTGTTCCTGAAACAACAAATGATCATGAAACTCAAAAATGGTTGAAAACTCTTCCCCTTGACCATACATAATTTTGTTCCTTGTGTCATTATGTATCTAATGGTATGAAGGTTATGAATCCCTGGAGGTCATCCTCACCCCCCTTGAACTGGAAATGTTCACAATATGCCCGCCATCAAATTCAAAAGTGCATCAATGATTAGATTACTTGATATTCCATTTATGATTTTGAGTCAACCCACCCTCCTAGTATTAGAAAAATCATTCATAGAGACGCACTATTAAACTTTGTGCACATTTTTGTGTATATTCATAATCTTCTTTTTTGTCAAAACAAAGTATTGGTTTGCATACATGAACAAGCTGGGGGCTAGGAAGGGGAAAAAGGGAAAAGAATTATCTCTGCACGTCTTAACTGTTGAAAACTCCTATAATTTGTGTATATTATCCCTACTTCTGACTTGTCATTATTATTTACTCTTCTCACACCATACATGTACCTGTTTATTAGTCAATATACGAGGGGTGATCAAAAAGTTCGCAAACTAATTGAATTACTTCATTAAAAGAAATAAAATGAGGTTTCAGTGTTTATTATTTTTTTAAGTAGTCCTCTCCGATTTTAATGCACATCTGCCATTGTTCTGCCCATGCGCGAATCACGTGATCCAGGCAGTCACGTGACATGCATGCTCCATAGCAGTCTGTTCACAGAAGCTAAAGCATTTTTCCGAGCCTTATATTTCTTACCATGCAAGTTACTTTTTATAACAAGAACAGTCCATCTGTCAGAAATGGCCAAATCTCGGCAATAGGATGGGTGGATAAGGATATCCCTTCCTACAATTAGTATGGTGACCCATCACAACCCGAGTCCTCTGTCTCGGGAGCGTCATTTATCCAATGTGGATAAAGTATGGGCGCCTTCTATTTATCATATCTCATATGTTTAAAGTCTAAAGTAAACGATGTTTTAGGGATTCAATAATTATATTATTGTTAAGATATTCAACCATTTTTCTAATAGTTACTTGACGCTGTTTCATAACAATTTGCTCAACTAAGGACATATCTTTTCCCAGGCCTGCTTTCGCTGGGCAACAGAACAAACATCACTTCTAACCATCTCCCTGCCTTCACTAAAACAATCAATCCAATTAATGAGTGAACTTCTGGTAAGTCTTTTGTCTTCATAAACCTTGTACAAATTATCATATTCTACTGCAAAGGAATTTCCAAGATATACGTTAAACTTTCCAGCCGTTCGTTGCTCGAGTACGACTGAACCAACCATTTTTTGTCATAAGTGACCTACATATTGACGTCATTTTCACATCGTGACGTCACAAACGCGGAGCAAAACATTATTTAACATCTGTTATTTATAGAACATGTGTATGTCTATATGTGTGCCAAATTTTATTCTGATCTGAATAGTAGTTTTGTAAATGTAGAGATAGTTTGCGAACTTTTTGATCACCCCTCGTATATAGACTTTTGGTCATATTTCTATTTCTTCCTTGAATCTGGACTTGCAGGTCTTGCATCTTTAAATTGATCAAGCTCTGTGGTTGAATTAGCTTTACCGGTATAGGTTGATTTTGCTATTCAAAACACCTTGATAAGCTATTTATAATCATACTGTTTTCTAAAGTTTTTTTTTTAAACAGGGATAAAAGTTATACTATAGTGACATGGAAAAATGCATAAAAATGTTTTTGTATAAAAGAAAAAACGTCAGCTTTTAATTAGTGTACGTTGAGTGGAGAGAAAGAAATTCATTATCATCATTTACAATATAGCCTGGATCTGTTGAGACTCTTGCATGGAAGTCGCCACATAATAAAATATTTCTTAACGACTTAAAATTAATTCTTTCTTTTTCAATACAATCGAGAATATCATAATCAGTACTCTTGGGGTAGAAAGAACCTTCAGGAGGGTTGTATATCATGCAAATATATGGATCTTTATGAAGATTGAAAAAATCTTTTTCCAATTTACTCCACTGAAAGTCAGCTTTTGTATTTTTTAGAATTTTTATGTGAGGTTTGAATTCACTCTTGCATAACATTGCTAATCTTCCAAATGTTCTGTTATTATGTTTAGATGCAGATCTACATACAGAGTGACAATAATAGTATTCTGTCTTGTGTACACATTGATCATTACCTATATGAGTTTCAGCAAGAAAAATTATGACAAACTTTTTAATCTGGTTGAAAAAAGTTGTATCATTCATTTTGTTTATGACTTGTTTTAGCTTTTTTGAAAAGTCATTGTAGAGGGTCTAAGTAAAATATTGCAGAAAAGTACCACCCTAACATTATTTTAAACATAAGTATAACAGAATAATAGAATTTCAAGATACAATATCTAGACATTGTAATGAAATAACAATTTCTTTCAAAGGTCGGAGTAATACCATTTTCATAATGTAATGATATATCAGTACACTCAGTACCTACATTGATAAAATTGAAAAAATTAGCAACTAGTAGCATAAAAAAAATACCATACTTGTCTACGTACATTTGTACAAAGGGGAAAAATACATGACTGATGGTTGGTTATCCATCCTTAGTCAAAGGTAATACATGTCCAATCAATACTTTAAATTGAGTAAAAACAAGTAAATTTCTAAGTTTAGAACTTGCTGGAATAACCACGACCACGTCCCCTTTTGTTATTTGCTCGGGACCTTGACCTGGACCTTCCTCGGTCTTGA